CTAATAGGGGCTAATTTTAAAGAAAGCTACTAACAGGCTGACATTATTACACTAACCAAGTGGGAAAAGCTTGAAAAAGCTTTAGTAGTAGTAGTACTGTTGGAGGTTTCCTTTTATAAGCATAAAATAATATTCTTTCTTGTAGTGTTGTTGAAAAAAGAAATGCAGCCAGTTGAAACCATGAATGTTCAATGAGATGATGAAACCTACCTCTAGGTCTAATCGTTTGAAGGAAAACAAAACTTGTCACCAAAGTATTTGTAAAGTGCCGTGCACGCCAGATCTTCATCCTGTTCAAGACCACTCCTCCTGATATAGTCAAAGAAACAACAACAATATTGAAAGATATGGCTTTTTAGTTATCTTAGTTTATTCGTGTTAACTGACTTGAGACAACCCCAAAAAAGAAATTTCACAGAGTACAACAAAGACATTGAAACGTTACTTACCAGACAAGTTTTTCAGAATAACACAGAACGGCAGACTGTGAATTTTTATTTGGAACCCGAGCTGAAAGAATTAAATGTGTGAATAAAAATAAATATTAACTTAAAGTTGCCTTTAGCAGAATCAAAAAATTTTAAAAACTACTACGAGCTTTTCACGGAGCTTGACGTTGCTCCATCGAGACTGCTCGCAGTTCTCACGAAGAGTTAGAGTTTGATGACAAAGTGTTAGTTGATCACATGGCCTAGAATTCATCCTTAGGAGGTCCCAGGCGGGCAGATAATCAGGGCGAGATGGAATGGTTAAAACCAAACCAGACTTACCTAAATGAAATGTTCAAATTACGTTTATTGAAAGGACTGAATCCTAAGAATGTGTTTTTGTCCAATGGAAGGAAATTTATTCCTGTAAAAAATAAATCATTCAGTGTTTAGAATATAGTCCCTGAGAAAAGACTACTATTAAACACATTGACTACTAAAGCGGCCATAAAACGGCCAAGAAGAGACCTCAGACTGTTACCACTTGTGACGTCATCACTGTTCAACGCCAGAGGATGTCTTTGATAAATCAACGGATAGAGTTGGCAAATGAGACTAACAAAGGCCTGCCTAAACGCGTACGAAACATTAAAATGGACCGCGAGATACACACGAAACAACTTGGATTTTTTCCTCAAAATTCACCAAAAAAACGCGACCTTCACTACCAATCTGGCACTCTTTGTCAAAAAAATTCCCTTTTCCCAACGTTTAGGCTAAAAACTTTTCAACGTGAACAAAGACGACTGAAAGGCCCCCAACAAACCCACAAAATAAAATGAGAGAAAAAGGAGAGCAAGAACTTCCCCAATAAAAATAAAGGTGTGAAAAGAAAAGCCTAAAGTCAGGTGTTTTTTTTTTTTTTTCAACACCCAAAAACTATGCTCGAAATTTTGATTTCTAGCGCATGCCCGAGAAAAAAATTGAATCGCTGTCGCTTCTACGTAAAGGGGATGTTAGTTGCCGTGTTTTAAACCAAGTTTTAGGACAGTTTGCCATTAAACTGTTGAGATAATGAGCCAGAAAATAGGCATCTGGGACGTTAGATTGACGTTTTTTTGGAAAAAAGCCCAGTAGTCAATGGGTTAATTACTCAGCATAAAAAGAAGGTACATTTTGACTAGTTAGCTGAAATGGATGATGGGAGGGGAGTTAATACCTTGGGAGGGTGAGGGCAGGGGGTACACCATTATTGGCAGAAAATGGAGATGTAGCCGCACGAAGGATGACAAAAGGAATATGAACTCTAGGGGACAGGGTTTAAATTTTAAAAGAGCGAGGTTTTGAGCAACGACAAGTGGTTATTTTTATTGCTCCTAGACATGGATTGTTGTAGGAACAACAAAAATCTAAAATGCAACAATTAGCATGGCGTACCACCCTCTGTGGTTCCGAGAAAAGAAGGGAGGCTCAGGTGAAAAACTCCACCTGAAAAACACATCCAGGAGATTAATACATGACTCACCGAGCAAAAATTCTCAGGGTCTGTAAAAAATACTTTTGACGAAAAAAATACAAACATAAACTGTGCCTTAAAATAATGTGAAACTCTGAAGATCAAAACCCAAACTAACCCTGTGTTTGTCACTGTCGTCAATCATAATTATGATGACAACCAACAGACCCTGTCCTGTGTAAACTTTGAAATTCAGCAATAGCCATACAGGTCCAAATTAGACAATACATCATGTTTAATACGTGATCAGCCCTTTATATTTATATGCAAAACAGGATATACTTACAGATGTGTAGAAAATGTTCCACTCTCTTGCACAGAGCTTCAATGTTGTGTGTAGTCAAGATGTACGAAAATGTGCCATTGAATAGCTGAGAAATATAAATTTAAAGTAAATTATGTCACCAGTTGAGTAGTTGTGGCTGAAATTTATTTAGTTATTTTCAAACCAGTTTTATTTTTATTTTTCTCAGTATCATATTCATTCAAGATAAAAATCGAACTAGGTTTTGAAACATTTTGAAACAAAAAATAACTTGTTTGTGTTTCATAACATTGTGTTAGTTTAGAGAGTTTTACCATACAGGTATTACTTGTATGCATCTAAAAAAAAATTCAGGACACAAAACCCCTTTTTTGAAGTGTAAAATTCCTTCTGATAATAACCCCCCCCCCCTCCCCCCCCTGAAAAGCGACCAAAAAACCCTTTTGAAAAATATAAGCCCAAGGCTTATTTATCCGAAATTTACAGTATGTTAATCATGATATTATTGAAATGCTAAAATCTCAAAACATCTTATGGTTGGGTGAATATTTTCAGTACCTGAACATTTTGTATGCTTGCTTCAACACTGCATCAAGAACAGAATCCTAAAAAATAAACAAATAATAAAAATAATACGATACGTAATCATACAAAAGAACAGAATCCTATTTTATAAAAGACAAAGAAAAATAAGGGGCCTGGTAAATCTTGAACAAAATTTTATACTCTTGAAAAGGATGTTAAAACTGCCTTTAACATAGAAGGGTGTACAGTGGACACTCTACTTTGGGACACCTCCATTAACTTGTCCCAAGGGTGTGCCCTTAATGGAAGTTCCACTGTAATTTGAAGTACTAACCAAAACATCTTCATCATGGTATTCAATGATCAGCTTTCCGTCCTTAGCCATTCTTCTCACTGAAGGGAATGCTGACCGTCTGTGGAACATGACATTTACTTAAGCAATCATTATCATCATCATTCATGTCGCCAATACTCCTAGTCTGCTTCATGTTACAGAAACTGGGGTAAGCTCCGGCAGTGTGGGCCAGTTTGGCCTGAGTGCGGCTTTACCTTTTTACAGTACCCAGTAAATTAGTTACATTCCTGTAGTCATTAGCGCTATACCTACATGCAAACACAACACTTACACACAATAAAGGACATCTAATAGCAATAATTGCGCGGAGCAGGGATGGCACAGTGGTGAGAGCGCTTGCCTCCCACCAATGTGGCCCAGGTTTCGAATCCCGGACCCGGCGTCATATGTGGGTTGAGTTTGTTGTTGGTTCTCATTCTTGCTCTGAGGGTTTTTCCCCGGGTACCCCGGTTTCCTCCCTCCTCAAAAACCAACACTTCTAAATTCCACAAGTTTGTCAGTCACAAGACTGTTTAGTGATACCCTCGTAAAACAAAGTCAATTAATTATTGATTTATTGTTCGCTTAATTAGGCATTTAGCTAATATTACATTACTGTAAGCGTTAAGACATTGTGGAATGAGCTAAGATTCCTAACTAGATAAAACTTACCATTATCATCCAGAATTCTGGTTCTGCTTCAAGAAGACCTGCCTTTTTTTCTGCGTGTGAAGAGAATGGCATGGCCTGTCTGGTGAGAAATGTCCTGTAAAATAAAAAAACAAATCATATAAATTATTGATATTTATATCATGTTTTCATTATGGTAATTTGTGATGTCATTCTGTGGTCAGAGATTTCAATATGGAGACTACAGAAGAAGATTTTGTGGTAGAAACCGTACATTATTGACCGCAGAATACACATTTAGATACACATACTTATTACACGACATGGCATTTTAGAGTGCGAATACGCACAAAGACGAGAGCAGATATGAGACCGTATTACACGGGTCTCAGTCCCCTGACCGCGCGCTACGGAAAATTACTGTTGAAAGCCTATATTTTAGGAAATATATTATGTCGTATAATAAACAATTTATTCAGCGGAAAGTTGTGTAATACGGCTGGGCATTTTTACTCGTCAGTGTTTATTTTTTCTCGCCTAAAGGCTCGAAAAAAATAAAAACTGACTCGTAAAAATACCCAGCCGTATTACACAACTTTCCGCTGAATAACCTCTATATATCTCTAATTTCACGCAATTCTGACTTAGCAGACGTATTGAAATGCAAGACCATGCACTGACATCATAATCTCCCATCAAACTTGCGAAAACAAATATGGCCGGTTGTCATCCTTGGGGCAAGGAACATGGGCTCACAAACTCACCAACCTCGTTCCGAGGCTCTCTCTTCCCCGCCTCTCTTGCTCTTGGGACAGGGAAGAGAGACCCTGGGAACGAGGTTGATTGCTCACATAATTAATGTACTTGTACAGCACATGCAATGGCTGTAACATGTTGCAGAAGATAGCTGGGAAGAAAGGAATTCCATCTTACTGTGTAAACTTTACCAATGCTTCACAAGAGTCCTATAGTCTTGATTTTCTTGTCTATGTCCTCACCAGTTGGGATGTAAAGAACAATCTTTTCTTTTTCCTGTTGTCAAGGAATAATCAAATATTAAGTTTAAAGCTTTTTGTGCCTTGTAAATCTTTGAGCATAAAAGAGATCACCAATTAATGTATGGTTAGGTTAAGGTCTGTTTACAAGCCTTAAGTGGCTTATCCAGTTTCCATAGCATGAAGCGACTAGCGCTACTCCCCTGGAAGGGATGCTAGTCCATCACAGGTAATTTGGTAGTTGCCCTGAGTGAGATGACACGAGGGTTGTCTATCTAGAGTGTCTTGCCCAAGAACACAACACAGTGACCCCGACCAGGGCTTGAAACCCAGGCCACTCAATCCAGAGTCCAACACCGTAACCATTAGGCCACCACTAAAAGTGATTAATATGTCCTAACCTCTTTGGGGCGGGGGGGGGGGGGGGGGGGGAGGGGGGGGGGGGGGGGTGGATACGAGGGTCTTGGATATTCATGTGGGGGTAGGAGAATGAATTTATGGCATTTTACCAAAATCTGTGAAAGATGTTTTGTTGATCTAGTGCACTGGATTGAAATCAAATCAAGATCATGATTTCAAATCCTGATCCATTTGGCCATATCTACACACGTACATGGTATTATAATACTTTGATGGATGGAAAGGGGAGCAAGGCGTCTGAACGACAGATGATCTTAGGGTTCTAGATAACCTGTTCCTGGCAGTCATTTTTGCAATTTACAAGCTCAAATCTAATAGATCAGGACTACATGTAGTACACTTTGGCCAGAAGAAGTCAGGTATTGTACTCACTGGTTGTCTACGTTTCCATAAATCCAAAATATCTTCAAATATATTTAAAATGTCTGATTTCCTGGGTGTTTTACGCCGATATAAAAGAATATGTATCAGATCAAACAAAACCAAAATAAAATCACATACCATTCCTTCCTTTGGACCAAAAGTGGAATTAAACATAAGAAATTGACAAGCCCTGGAGATGTTTTCATGGCAGCCATCTTGAGTTTTATGACAGTTTTTATGCGCTGTTACATGACGTATCCTTTTCTGATTGGGGAATTCCGCTGAAAAATTCCGACCGCAATCAAAACATCCAAGATGGCGGCTTCAGGGAGGAGTTCGCGTTTAATTTTCAGCTCTAAAACATGACTTTTACACGTAAAACGTGAAACAATTAGTTCGGAAAACCAATTGTACACTAGCTGTAGTTAACGTTGCCATATTATGATGATGGATGACATTTCGCCTCAGGAAGCGGCATCTAGATGACAAAACTAGCCCAGGTATTTCTCTGCCTGTAAAATATCCGCCATCGTTTGTTCCCAGTTGTCTTCTTTCTTATATGTGATAAGTAAATTTTTGGCTGATTATAAGTAGGTTAGATAACTAAATTGGAAAAGATTTAAACCGCATCATTTCGAATCATTATGTATAGAAAATATAATTAATGTCATTTTGAACATGATGCAAAACATGGCGCAAAAAACGGATTCGGTGTCAAATAACCCCGGGGAGGATCCAATATAAAAGTGACGGGGATGATCGTCGCACCTTTTAGTGGTGAAGTTTTGTGGTTTTGTACCGCTTAGGATGTTCAAATCTAAAATGAACGCCGTTAGAGTTATTCTGACCTTTTAGGTACTGAAGTCGGAGACTTGTTTCAGAATCGGGTACTTCTAATTCTAGGGGTGAAAATGAATTTGAGCCACACCCCCCACAAAACAAGATTCTGGTACCTTTTAGGGTTTTTCTCAAAATTTCTGACAATCTGGGAGTCCCCCCTTCCCCCGGGGCAAATAACACCACAATTAAATTAGCTTCAAGGTTTTTCTTTTAATATTGTAGGAGAAAAATATCCTGGTTTTCCTGAAAGAAGCTTGGAAAAGACTGATCAAATCACTGGAAATATGGTGAGTTTTAATCTCCTGTTACTTCATTTTGGGTTTCCTCATCAATGATCATCCTGTCAGACAAGTCCGTCCACTTGCACAGGTTACATCATTGGTTGAGTGAGTCTGAACTCAGAAGGCGTCAGTCTGAAAAGCTGTCATCCCTGGTTACAGTGAAGATGACGCTATCGTTGCACTCAACAAAGTTTTTGATTAATTTTTGACATCTTTTTGACGACTTATCTGGCGCCAAAAAACAGAACCCATCAAAGTTGTTCAAACAGATGTCAAAAAATAATCAAAAACTTTGTCGAGTGGCAACAGTAACGTCATCTTCACTGTAATTTCATATACTCCGAGCCAAAGTTGTTACATATTAAATGTGACCCTCCACGGGGAAAAAGTGATGACACGGACATGCGTTTAATTGACACAACACGCAAAGCGAGTCATTGGATGTGTACATTTAATTATAATAATTTATAATCAACCACCACATTTGATCTTTTCTGCTATGAGGGAAGAAATGTTCATCTTGTTGTACATTTTACTTATAGCTGGACATCTTATCCAAGTTTGAAGTACGCATACACAAGCTGGAGGACACCATTGTTCCTGTCCACCGGGAAACTGATGACTTACAAAGAAGACAAGCTAGTATCCTTTATAATAAACTGTTAGTTGTACTTAGTCTGTCGCATGGGCCAGGAAAGGGTTCCCAACGCTCTGCTGGGGTAGGTGCATCACGCGGTGGAGGGATGCTGTGGAGAGGGATGCGAAGCTGACTGGAGTGGAGCAGGACATGCATGCGCTCCTGGTGTCTTGACATCATGTTGCCAAAATGATGATGATGATGATGATGATGACGATTGATGATGATGATGATGATGATGATGATGATGATGATGTACAACTGTAGTACTTAACTAAGAATGAATACTTAATTTCATAATTTAAAGAGTGTTACTTCCATTGAAATGAAGCTTCATTGGCATTAGCAGCTTTCGACTTCACAACATCTCTTAACTCTGCCTAGATATTGATAAATCTTTGGCAGCATTGGATCATGTGATCAGTTATCACCATGTTTATTCCAGTGTGGACACACGTCATTAGAGATGCGTAAGTAATCTATTATAATATTGACATAATGTATCATCACACAGTTATATCTAGAAGTAGAAATCTAGTACGCAATTTTATGTTAACTTTGTTTCTAGGCCTACAGGTCAGCTTGATGCATACATCAAGAATTTAGAAAGAGTGCTGGATGCAATTGAGTTCTTTAATCAGAACAATCCCAACTGCGTGGAACTTTCAAACCTGGTAATCACACATATGTGAATTTATTCCTTTGATTAATATTTTTTCCGAAAACGTTTCCTTCTTGTGTTTATAAATCACTATTTATTTCTGGCAATGTTTGACACAGAACAATGACATTGGAAATGCTCCTTGCAAAATGGTGTTGACAGGCTCGCATTTGAATATACCTGTACGACTGTGCTTGACCTGGGAATAAAGAGGTTCATTGAAAAATGCCAGCTCTTGTCGTAGATGACAGAATGATCTTGTCTTGCTCTCGTTGTAGCTCTTTCAATAAAATTACTCTGTGAAGTTGTAAATTATTTAAAACTAAATAATTATAATATTTATTTTAATAGTGTGATGCTTAAATTTCAGACTTCCTTGCGTGACTATGGACGTGACTCACTAGGAAAAGAATTCCGTCAAATGCTGAACAGGACACAGCAAGCCTGTTCCTGTCGAGATGATCCTGACGCTGATTGAAACTGAACAAGGTTACAAATCGATCATCAGTTCCCAGTTCTCTGTGGCATGTACTAAAACCAGAAACACCTGAACATGCCAGAAAAACCCAGGACAGCCCAGAAAAGCCTTCCCCTAATCAGTCATCTCTAATCACTAATCCTAACCCTAAACTTACCGGGTGTTCTGTGTTCCTGGTTTTACTATGTGCCGTTCTCTGCAGTCGTGATCATACC